CCCACCCACCCAAGTAAGATTGAACACAGTACCTTGAGCTGAGTGGCCAACGGGCGGCTAGATGGTTTCAGTTGGTTAGCGCACGTGCTCTTAACGATAAGGTTGCTGGTTTGACTCCCGCATGGGATGGTGGGCTGCGCCCAAAACTAGATTGAAAGCAGCGACTGGACTTGGAGTTGAGCTTGCGCCCTCCACAACTAAGATTGAAGGACAACAACTTGACTTGGAGCTGATGGGTCCTGGAAAAACAATGTTCCTCTTCCCCAATTCCCCAACACTGTTCCCTTCCCCAATTCCCCAATGAAATCTTTAAAAGAAAAAAAGAAATTCAAGGGATACAGAATAGCCAACAATCTCAAAAGAGAACAAATTGGAGCACTTACAGTTCACCATTTCAAAACTTAACTACCAAGCTACAGTAATTAAGACATCGTGGTGCTGACATAAGCCTAGGTCTGTAGATCAACAGAGTAAAATTGAGAGTCCAAAAATAAAACACATTTATAGTCAGGCTTTTAACAAGGGTGTCAAGTAGGGGAAAGCTGTTAATCATATTTTTATAGAAATCAAGAGGTTTTGTTTTTTTTAATTGGGGGAAGGGACCAGCCAAGTTGTTCTTCAGTCTTCATTGTGAAAGGTGCCAGTCGCCATCTGGCTGCCCAATCGGCAGCTCGTGGCCTCTATAAGCTCAAGGTGCTGTGTTCAGTCTTAGTTGTGGGTGGGCGTAGCCACCATCCCATCCAGGAGTCAAACCAGCAGCCTTGTTAAGAGCACACGCTCTGTCCACTGAGCCATCTGGGCAGTGCCGAGTTCAGTCTTAGTTGTGGGTGGGTGTAGCCCTCCATTGAACAGACAATCTTGTTACACCAGCTGAGCCATCCTGCCACCTGTTGGCAGCTCAGTGACAGCTCAGCTCGGGCACAGCATCACTGGCCCATGGGGGAATCAAACCGGTGGCCCTGTTGCTCAGAGCTCGCGCTCTTAACCAACTGAGCCACTCGGCCGGCCCAGAAACCCAAGAGCTTTAATGGGGGTTTTCCCCAAAAAAATTAATGTATTTTGGCCAGGGCCTTCTCCCTCAAAAAAATCTTTGCAAATTTTTATTATATGAAACAGTACATTTTTAACTTGAAAAGCCGCAATGACAAGTAACCATCACATTGTTTTCAAGTGCTTTGTATGTGAATTGATGTACATTTGCTTTCAACCCTCATAGTGTTTTTATTTTAGTTGACCCTGGCAAAAGTAAGTTGGTGATGAATGACATGCATGTGTGCTAACTAATGTTCACCGCAACCATTTTTGTTTTAAATTTCCTATTTGTAATTAGTAGCTCATTTCTAGATAAATATCTAATTTCTGAAAACCTCAAACCTGAATCTCAATTGAAAACTAAGTCATTAATTTACAAGTCAGGAAACACCCAGAATTTACAAAACAATGTATGTCATGACATGACATCTATTCAGAGTTCACTTATTACTGCCCAAAAGACCATTTCTGTTTGATAAGATAGATGTGCTTATTTGTGCAATTTTTGCTGAAAATGTATTCACAAGCCAGAAATCAGTGCAGAGCTATGGTTTTCCTAATTAGGAATACATTTACCAAAGGTAAGTATTTGGCAAAGGGACCTGTTAGTGAGTTCCCAAGTGAGTGTACTACAGAAGCTTTTTCTCTAACCATTTTTTTATGGAAAGCTTTGCAAAAATGTTTTAAACGTGTTCTTCATAAGAGTGTATTGTATTGCACAGTTAATCATGTTTTGCTCTTATAGTAGCATTTCTCACCCTAGGATCCTTGGGTGACCTTCAAGGGGTTCATAACCAAATTTTTTGTATGCATTTACTGGAAAGAGGGTCTATCGCTTTCGAAGATTATCAAAGGAAAATCATTAAGAAAGTAATTTTGCCCTTGCTTAACTGATCCAAACTGCTGTGCTTTAATAGTTTCTGCTCATTTTTTTTAATGAACGTTTGGCCTTACACATAGTAAAATGGTGCTTGATAAATAGTAGTTACAGAATAAGTTTTCTCCTTGCAGACAGTCAACTGTAATTTCTCATAAGTTTCAGTTTACTTTTCTCTAGAGCTGTCCTTCCTTAACTCTATTACACTGTTGCTTCAAATTTATTACTAAATAGGGCCGGCCGAGTGGCGCGATGGTTAAGAACTCGCTTGGGATGCCAGAGGGCCCCGGTTCGGATCCCACATATGAGGGCCAGTGACACTGCCCTCTACAGCTAAGATGCTGAACAACAGCTCAACCTGGAGCTGGGCTGCCATGAGTCGCCGGCGATGGCGTAGGCTGCAGCCCCTGTGGCAGTGGGTTGTCATGGGCTACCGTGTGTAGCCAGCAGCCAGCGTGAGCGGCCAGCAGCCGCAGTGAGCGGCCATCCAGAAGCCGGTGACTGATCTGCCTCGCCAGAGAAGAGCGCAATGATGGTGCCAACTTGGGCCAGTGAAGCAACATCCTCCACAACTAGATTGAAGAACAAAACGACAGCAGCTTGTCTGTTCCCCTTCCCCCAGTTCCCCAGCACTGTTCCTATCCCCCTAATTCCCCAATTAAAAAAAAAAAATTTATTACTAAATAAGGCAAATTAGACACAGTCTATCAAACTTACATTGAGAAGCAGTTCTGAACAAGAATCCTTCCTTAAGAACTAATCCCTCCTAAGAACTAATGAGCATAACTATATACATTGTGTATTTCATTTCACTTTGATTTAGGTGCCGTGATGGCAGAAAGTTTTTGTTTAAGTATAGTTTTATTTAAGGTTTTCTGTGAAAAACTACTTCAACAAATTAAAAAATATTTTGCAAGTACTGTCCTGAAGAGAGCTCAGCTTGGTTTTCATTATTCTCCCTTTAGGATACAGATGAGTTTATTTTACCAACCGGAGCTAATAAAACCCGGGGCAGATTTGAACTGGCCTTCTTTACCATTGGGGGATGTTGTATGACAGGTGAGTATAATAATTTATTTAAGTGTCCTCAATCCAAGTAGTCAAAGATGCTTAAAAACAAAAGCAATTGCTTTGAGTGTTGTTTTAAGAATCATTATTTACATTTTTCATCTTTTCCTATTAAGTAAAAATGAAAAAAAATCAGAAGCGCAGTTTTTAACATAAAGCCATATTATTTGGATGAATTGTTACTATGATTTTCTAGGGGCTGCATTTGGGGCAATCAACGGTCTACGGCTAGGATTGAAGGAAACCCAGAACATGACCTGGTCCAAACCAAGAAACGTACAGTAAGTCTCATGTAATCATCTGATGTAATGATGTTTGAATATTAACCTCTACTCATTGGCTTAATGAGCACAAGTTTGAAATTAGCAATATTTAGAGTATTGATGTACTTTTTGATCAATTTTTTTTCTTATTCAAAATAAAAAGGAACTAAGAATTCCGATTACTGAGTCTAAACTTTTGTAAAGGAGTGATTTTTGAGTCAGCGTCCCTCAGTCAGCTGGTGCCACCCCATCCTGACTTCTTAGCTACACATGATTCATTCTGTGGGCCTATATAACCTGCTTTTCATATTGTTCAATTACTAGTACATTATTTTGACTGTTCAGGGGCATGCAAAGGACATGGTAGTGAAGAAATGAGCACAGAACAGTGATTGCTAGATCTGCAACTTCACTCTCCATTTCTGAAATGGAAAGCTGCAGAAAATGTAATTGAAAATCCTAGAATTTAGAGATCGTTCCAAAAGGAATACAACAGTCTTCTCCCAGGAAATTGATTTGTAGAGAAGGGAAAGAATACTTAAAAAGGTCAGAAAGTGTATATAATGTGTATCTCCACCCTACTTAAGAAATAAACATGACCAGTCCCTGTTGATATGCCCTTAATAACACATTGTTTAGTTTTGCACGTTTTTATACTTTATGTGAGTCAAGAATCAACAGTATATATTCTTCAATGGCTCATGGTTTTGTTTTAGGACGCTTTAAACTTCATCTTCATTATTTGTTGTTGAGCCAGCAGATGGCAGTAGGTGTGCTAGAATTAGACCTTGGGACTGGACTCCTTGAAAGCAGTGTGAAGTTTTTCACATTCCTGCTACTGTGTTAATCGGTGCCCTTGCTTCACTAGCCCAGATCCTTGAATATCCTTATATTGTGTTCTTAATATTTTTCCCTACTTCAATAACTTTTATTTTTTACTTTTTGTATTATGGTGAATTTTTAATATATCCAAAAATAGACAAAATAGTACAGTGAACAACTGAAACGTAACCCATCCTCAACAGCCATCAACCTGGACCAATTGTGTCACATCCCCTTCTTCCCTTATTATTTTGAAACAAATCTCCCCAATGACAGATCATTAAACACCAGTTTGAAAGCGGAAGGTCTAGAAAAATAACCTTTGTTTCTTAAAACAATAGTAGTTAATTTTTTTGGAGAGAGTCAAATTGATTTGCATTTTCTTTTCTTTAAATCTTCTGTACCATTTTTCAGTATCATTCTGATCGTCCTGGAAAGAGAAACAACATTTAAAAATGGAAAGAATATAGGGTTTCAGGCCAGACAGATCTATGTAGCTTTAAAGCCTAGTTTTATTACTCACTATTTTGTGATCTTAGGTAAGCTTTCTATACTTTCTGCCTTTAAGGGTTTTTGAGAGATGACTAAAGTGAGGAGTTGGTAAAGACCCAGTAAATGGAGGTATCTTGCCCAGTTGCATCCCAAAGAATTTTACCAGTGCTATTAGCAATGCAATAATGAAAACTAATCGTTTTAAAAACTTGTTACAAATGAAGAAACAGTGTGCTAAACTTAAAATATTTTTATTAGCAAATATGTAACATAATTAATTAGAAACAATATATTTCTCCATAAACCTATTAGTGGTAATACAAATAATTTGTTATTGAGCATTAATTTAAATTAGTTCTTTAATTAAATGAGTTCTTGTTGCTTATTACTGTAATTCCATAATCTCCAGCAGTAGTCAGCTGTCCGGACAGAACCATTCCTGTGATGGTGTTACACTGCTGGGAGAGCAATGTCCTGTTGTCTTCCTCTAGTTGCCTCCGTCGCTGTTCTGGTGGCGTCTGGCACTGGCGACGGCAGAACTGTGCTTCCTTGAGAGTATGCTAAGCATTCACTTTGGCTGCTTAGTTCTAGTCTGGAAGCAGACACACAGTATGTTTTCTCTGTGTATTCTAGTTCGCTTTTTTCCTCTCTTTGAGTATTTTTCTTTAATTCTGCTTTATAGTCTATAATATTCCATGCTTTGATTCTACTTAATATTCTAAATATATATCCCTTCCCCCCCCCAAAAAAAAAACTTAATTGTAAGCTAGTTTGTCCATTGTAATGGCATTTTTTTTTTTAACACGGATCAGTTTTTGTTAACTTCTTTATAAAATACATTCCAGGCTATCACTCAAAACCTTTATATGTTTGATATGTTTTTAATAATTTTATGTATTTAATAAGAATTTTCCCTACTTGTTTCCCAAGAAGTTGGAGGTTTTAACCTACCTTCATGTATATTTCTATAAAATAAAAGCCATTCTTATTGAATTCTGAGGAGGTATTATGTTTTTAAATTAAGGAAACTTTGGATATTAGGTTTCTCCTTTTTAAATAGTTGCAGTTATGGTTTTTCAAATTAGTAGAAAAATAATTATTCTAAATACAGATTCTTTCTCTTTCTTCCCTTGTAGGATTTTGAACATGGTGACCAGACAAGGGGCACTTTGGGCTAATACACTAGGTTCTCTAGGTAACTATAGATTTCACTTGATAAGACAGTATTAATGCAAAGAAAGAATGTGCACATGAACAGTTTGATCAACCAAAATTCTGGTTCTAAGATAATAAACATGCTTCAATCGTCTAGTGAGTAGTATAGATACTACTCAGGAAAAAACAGTGAACTTTATGACAAGATAATCCCACATGCTAATACCACCTTGAATACTATCTCTGAATGTTTTGAATCTTTTTAAATAGTACATAGTCTCTTGTCCAAGCAAAACACCAAATAAAATCATGTTTTAACTAAATGAAATCCAAATAATTTAGGTCCAAGGCAAATGGCTTTGTGTCTTAGGAAAGGTTCATGATCCTATAGTGAGATAGGATAGATGATGCCTCATCCTGTAGTGAGGTAGGATAGATGGCTCCTGGTCCTGTAGTGAGATAGGATAGGCTAACTAAGCCCTCTTTCTGTGTTTCCCCAGTAGCTTATTCAGCGTTCTGTTTACATTGAGTAGATTTCTCAGACTTACTTGCCAGAGTTGAAGTGGAGCCCTTGCAGATAATGAAAACATTTGCAGTTTTAAGCAAAGGGTGATTTAGTAGTACTTAGAGCCAGATGTTTTCATACTATATTTTTTATGAATAGTTGATCTTTTGATTACTCATGACTTAAACCAACTTGTGGCACTTAGGCCCAATATCCAAGATTTTTTGTAACTTAGTTGCAAGTCTGAAAATCTTTTAAACGTGGCAAAATAAGGGGAAATGTAGATATCTCATTGAAAGATAGAAAAGGCTTCTGTTGACAAGGTAAGATCCTAGCCTTGTCATGAGATTTGTAAGTAGTACATTTTCACACCATAAGGTCAGACTCACGTTTGGGATCCTAGTAAATGGCTATTTCCTTATGCCCCCACCCCCATACACGGTCACTCTCCTTTGTTCCTATTTGATTGCTTCTATACCTAGAGTAATCAGCCGTCTTGATCCGCTTGGGACTTGCTTAGTTTTAGTACTGTAAGTTCATGTTCCAGGAAACTCTCAGTTCTGAGCAGACTGGGATGGCCAGCCACCACGTGTATTCCCTTTGTAATATGATCAATCCCAGTTTTCTGCTCAATTAAATAAGTTGAAACAGGAAAAATAGACTTTATAAAACTATAAAAATATTACAACAGAGGAGTTATAAAACCAAGCTTAGTATAATATTGAGGAGTGAAACGTGGCAATTTTGAGAAAGGGTGAGGAAAAGGATGAATGCATTCATGGCTAATAGGAATCTTTACAGGTATAGGAGATCTTGTGAAAACTAAATAGTGTTAGTATTATAGTTTTTACATGTGCAAGAACCAAATCTCACCTTTTTTAAAAGTTATATTTGTCTTACAGTAGAAATACATGTGTTTTTGTTTCTAAATCCGAAGTACAGCTATTATGAATAAAAGTGAAAATTAAAGATAATCTTCCTGGGACTTCCCAGTGGTACTTTCCATAAATAGTTACTATTAATATTTCTTCTGAATCTTTCCAAATATCTTCTTTTCATATCCAGAGTCATACACATGTGCCTGCTTTACGTATTAGTGAATATAAATAGCTCTTCCTCCTCTTTGTTTTAAGTGAGTATGTAGGATTCCATTATATGGAAAGTCCCTTTCTGGATCAGTCCCCTCTTGATGGGCATTTTATTTGTTGCCAGGCTTTTGCTTTACAGTGTTTGATCATTCTTTATATATCTTTGAACACTTAGAGGATGATGTCTGTAGGATACAATTATCTAAATAGAATTGTCATACTGACTTACAGTACCTTTTTTTATTACTGATCAGTTCCATTTTCCCTGTAGCTTTGCTCTATAGTGCATTTGGTGTCATCATTGAGAAAACACGAGGTGCTGAAGATGACCTCAATACAGTTGCAGCTGGAACTATGACAGGCATGTTGTATAAATGTACAGGTAGGTTCTGTTAAATGGAGAGCTGTTTCTCAGTACACTTGAAGTATGTGTTTTATCCATAGTTTTCAAAGGAAGCTTTATATTCCTTTTTTTAGTATAACCTAGTGTTCTCTGAAACCTTGTGGTGGGTTTGGGTTTTGTTTTTGATTTTTTTTTCTTTATTTTGGTAAAATATACATAAAATTGACCATCTAAACCATTTTTCAAGTGTCCAGTTCCATGTTAAGTGTATTTACACTGTTGTGCAACCAATCTCCAGAACATTTCTTCATCTTGCAAAACAGAAACTCTACCCATTAAACAGTTCTCCATTTCTCCCTTCAGCCCCTGGCAACCACCAAGTTGTTTCTATCTCTATGAAATTAGACTACTCTGGGTACCTTATGTAAGTGGAATCATACAGTATTTATTTGTCTTTTTGTGACTCACTCACTTCATTTAGCATAATGTCCTCAAGGTTCATCCATGTTGTAGCATGTGTCACAATTTCCTTTCTAAGATTGAATAGTACTCTGTCATACATATATGCCACATTTGTTTTTTCCATTTATCTCTCAATGGACCCTTGGGTTGCTTCCACCTTTGGCTACTGTGAATAATATTGTTATGAATGAACATAGGTGAACTAATATAATTCAGTTTTGAAAAAAAAAAAAACAGAGCCCTAAGAGTTGAACCAAAATGATCTGGGTGAAGATCAAATATCAAATTCTCCTCTAAAATGGAAAAAAACAATTAACATTTACTGAATTATGATTATACTCAGCAATAAGCACTTATTTCACTTAAAACTCCGTGAAGTGATAATCACACCCCAATTTTATAAATGAGCACAGTATTAACACGACCTCTTTCAAAATGTCATATAACTAGTGACAGCTCCAAATTCATATCACATTTCTGTTTAAAATGGTTTAATTAAACTGCATGCATTGTATACTCCTGCCTCTGAAAAATACTTTTGTTTAATTGCTTTATTATGTATTAGACACTTGATTAACTGAGTAATTCTGTTTTTTAGTAATTCCTCCCCATATATCAGGTAGCATTTATGCATTATTTTTACTAGAAAGAAATGAGAGAAATTTCAACAAGATTACAAAGTTAAAGCTTTCCTGACATATCTAACAGTAAGAAGCTTTTTCTATATTGACAATAGGTTGCATTTGGAATTTTGTCCCTAAGAGTTCACAAAACTTCTTCCAGCACATGTGGGTGTGTTTACACACAAACAGAGCTCCCAGGTAGCATAAGACAGTAAATACATTTTATGTCCATGAAAACATTGCTTTGGCATAGAAAAACCTTGTTAAAAACCTAAAAATACTTGGGCCGGCTGAGTGGTGCATTGGTTAAGAGCTGGCTTGGGATGCCAGAGGGCCCCGGTTCGGATCCCACATATGAGGGCCAGTGACATTGCCCTCCACAGCTAAGATGCTGAACAACAGCTCAACTTGGAGCTGGGCTGCCATGAGTCGCCGGCGACGGCATAGGCTGCAGCCCCTGCTGCAGTGGGTTGCCATGGGCTATCGTGTGTGGTCGGCAGCCAGCATGAGCGGCCAGCAGCCACTGTGAGCAGCTGTCCAGAAGCCGGCAACTGATCTGCCTCACCCGGAATGGTGCCAACTTGGGCCAGTGAAGCAATGTCCTCCATAACTAGACTGAAGAACAAAAGGACAGCAACTTGTCTGTTCCCCTTCCCCCAATTCCCCAGCGCTGTTCCCCTCCCCCAATTCCCCAATAAAAATCTTTAAATATATATATATATATACTTTCACATGGAAAATCTGTAGGGTCAGACAGAAGAATTTAAAATTTTAATTGGCCGGGACACTCAGCCAGCAAGAGTTTGGTTGGCCCAAACTGCATTTAAAAAGATCAAATCAATATTTTAAAACCAGGAGATTTCAGACGAGCATCTGGAACTCCAGCTTCTTTCAAGTGAGTGGGAGACACCAAGCTCCCACTATGTGGTGGCACATGGCTGGAGCTGGAGAGGAGGAGGTGCTGCTTCTGCCACAGGAGGGGCACTGAAACTCCAGCTCAGTGTCCACCATTCCTGCTTTCTTATTCAAGGTAAGTCATTATGGCATAGCCTGTTACGGGCAGTCCTGAGTATAAGTATCGAATGATCCTCTGATTTAAGACACATTATGCATATTTTAAAAATAGAAAGGAAAAGGCTGGATGCTTTATATTATCAAAAGAAATGGGAGCCTAGCTTTCTGTGTCAAGGATTTCCTTGCAGTAATAGCATTTATGACAGCCTGGGACACCTCTAACATTAATAATGGAAGAGAAAGTTCTTGGATCAGACGAGAAAAAGAAAAAAAGTATCCATGAATTTTGTGTCAGGTGACAAGCTGGTTGCAGTTTCCGTTGCGGTATGGAGCACAGAGGAAGTAATTTGTCCACTGACCCAGGATTCCAACATTGCTTCACAACCCTGGCTCAACAAAGTCAGTCTGACAAGGCAAATCCGTGTGTCTTACCGATGTCTGGTTTAGAATAAACTTAGGAAGACGGAGCACAGAAGTATGAAGTTTATGTGGCAAGAATACAAATTTAACTTCAACTTCCATATTTGAAAAAGAGTTCAGGCACTCGTAGTCTAGAGCCAGCATAAACTGTTAAGGAACAAAGTTTACATTTAGAGAATGGCTAATTACTGCCGACCTAAAATATTTCCAATCTCAGTGTGCTCTTCAAAAATAGATTTTTCTTTTTTTAAAAAAAGGAAAAACTTCAGAATGAAAGTAGTGTGACTCAACTTAGGTATGCAGCTGCTTTATCAGAAAAAAAAATCATGTGGAAATATGTAGTTCTCAAACCAAAATGAGGCTAATTTTTAAAGTAATAATTCTGATATGATTTTAGTTCCTAATGCTTATTTAATGAACCATGGAAATCTTTTCCAGAGGGTGTGAAATGTCGTTATTAGATTTTCTGTGGCATATGAAAATCTGTTTAATAATAACTGGCATTTTACCAGGACAAGGACAGCTGTACTTCTGCTGTCATCCTTAGGAATGTGTAAGAGGCTTGGTCACTCATCTTCAGAAAACAAGGCCTCAGAAACCAAGCCATGGGCATCCCCTTTCCACTCGCAAAAAATCCCTGACCTGTTAATCCTATTCCTTCCATAAGAAAGTCATCTTATGAAAGCAAACTAAGTAAAAGTAAAAGATACAATGTTCAGTTTATCAAATTAAGCAATTATCATCAGGGTTGTTAAAAGGTACTGTTTACCCATAAATTCCAGGCCTTCAAAATTGAATTTTATATTCCAAAAAGAGCCTCTTGGTGACTTTTTTATGTTTATTGCTGGCATCGACATCCTCCCAGTAAAAAAAAATGCAGGTAACATAGTACACAAAGGGCTAACTGCCGTAATATATAATACATTTCAACAAATCTCTTAAACCAATAACCCAATAAAAAATGAGTAATATGACGCAACACCTCAGAAAATAATACACATGACTGCTGAACAATAGAAATTGCTCAGTCTCACAAGCAGCCAGGAAAAAGCAAACTAAAAAACATTAATGTTTTTCACCAGCTGGCTCAAAAGTGAAGGTAGATGACAATATTGGCAAAAGATAAACAAGTACTTGCAAGGCAGTTTGGCATTATTGATATTTTATTTTTTTTAAAGATTTCTATTGGGGAATTGGAGGGAACAGCATTGGGGAAGGGAACAGACAAGTTGCTGTCCTTTTGTTCTTCAGTCTAGTTGTGGAGGACATCGCTTCACTGGCCCATTGTTGGTATTATCATTGCGCTATTCCCAATGGTGAGGCAGTCACACGCCGGCTACCGTCCAGCCCCACTGCAGCCTACACCATTGCTGGCGACTCATGGCAGCCCAGCTCCAGGTCGAGCTGTTGTTCACCATCTTAGCTGTAGAGGGCGCAGTGTCACTGGCTCTCATGTGGGATCCGAACTGGTGGCCCTGCTTATCAGAGCTCGCGCTTTCAAGCCAACTCTTAACCAACGAGCCACTCTACCAGCTCCTGGCATTATTGATATTTTAAATACGTAGATTCTTTGCTCAAGTAATCTGACATCCGGCAGGTCATTCAGCAGCAAAGTGGCGTCCAGGCAAAACTACACTGAGGTATTTGTGACAGGCTTCCCAGTGAAGGCGGTACTTGAACACAGACAGATGAGGGCGCATATGAAGGTGTGTCTGGAGCGCGGGACTTAGGTAAAGGTTATGCCGAAAACAGGCTGGGAAGTGGGATTTGAAAGGCAGTGGGAAGAGCAATAGAATCCAGACTCATAGAAGTAACCAGGGACCAGATGGTGGAGAAGACAGCTCCGTGGACTACTGTGAAGGGGCTGGCTCGCCTGAACATTGATCCTCCTTACCTTCTAAGTACTGCATTTCCATTTACTGCTAAGCCTTAAATTGTAACTTGCATAGTGAAACTTGCACCTTTCTCCTGAGTACAGAATTTACATGAAGAGATGTTCACTCTGGGTTGATAAACCCTCTCTCTAAAACTTCCATAAGATTCTCAGAGGAGTCTGGGACATTCCCTATCACCCACAGAACAGCAACCACCAAAAAGACTAAGAACCTAATGAAAAATAGTCCTGACAGTACACAGTAATGTGGGGAGTCAAAAACAACGGAGATAGTTTAGTGTGTTTACTATTGCATGGAAGAACTGGAATTGCAAGGAAGAGATGGATGGGACAGGGGAAGCCTAGCAAAGTTAGCTGCCTTGAGTCCACTCAGTAACAAAGAAGGATAGCCCTTTCTACCTTTCTCTCACCATCCCCTCATGTCATCAGTTGTGAAGTTCACTACCTATTACCTGAGTTGAGGCCCTTATCACAAGCCCTAGACTTGTGTAGCAGTATTTTTCATTGACTATTTTGACATTAGCCTTCTACCACGATTCCTTCTTATCTACTCACTATTTCTAGGTTAATCTTCCTCAAGGATGGTTCTAATTCTGATACTCCTATCCAGAAACCTTGAATGATGACACAGTGCCTCTCAACTTAAACTTCTCATCCCAGTCTTTCATTCTGTGATCCTAATCTATTTTCCAAACTTTTCTCCCATACTTTCCTTGTTCATATAGATAAATTTGAAATTCAGTCCATTCATAAGGCCCAGCTCAACTGTTTTTCCCCCTTTCAAGAAATTTCCCTGATTGCTCCTTTCTCTATCCTGGAGGAGATCTGGTGTGAAAGACTGTGGGCTTTGGAGTCATGCTGGGTTTGACTAGCACGAGATCACTATAAACAACGGTGTGAACAACACAGTAACTTGTCTGAATTTCTGTTTCTTTGCCTATAAAACAAGAATGACCCCTGTTCCCATCACAGACTTACAAATGAGGTAAACCATATAAAACAAGTGACTTCCTTTCTGCCATAAGCATATTTTGTACCATTCTTAGAAGACTTAACAGTTTTCCTAGTAGGAAGTCAATAGACAGTATCTAAGATTGAAAAATCGAGACATAGCAAGATAATCATGTTCTTCAGAAACGTGACAGTAAAGAGCCAAAAATTAAAGTACTGGGTTGTCAGAAAAGTCATGACGTATTTTTCTATGTTTTTCTTTGCAAAAATGTGTCATGACTTTTCCGACAACCCAATAGCTGCCTTTGAGACCTGGGGAGTAGAGGAGGTTGGGGGGGGGGAGGTGGCACCAGACTGTATCACTAAGATCTTCATACTGTCTTGACTTAAAATTATGTATGTGGGCTACTTTGATAAAAATAAAAAGTGTGCAAAGCTGTATCAACATAATAAATATTAGGCATCAGGTTGCGAGGGGAGTGGGGAGTTACTGGTTAATAGGTACAAAGGTTCTCTGGAGACAGCGGTGGTTATTGCAGCTCTGCAGCGTCCTTCATGCCACTGAACTGTACACTTAAACATGGTAACTTTTGTCATGTGTATTTACCAGTTTTGAAAAACAAGTTTAACAAATTTTTTAATGTTAAATAGAGCAAAAACTCTTTGAATGGTGTTCAGTAGCCATCTCAGGATGTGGGTAAGGCTGGTCATCTACAGCAGGGGCCATAGCGCCTGCAGGCTAAGAATGTGCTTCACATTGTTTAAGGTACATTTTAAATGGTTCTTTAAGTACCTACCTAACAGCCTTTGGTCCCTCAAAGCCTAAAATACTTATATGGGCCATTTTAAGAAAAATTTGCAGATTTCTACTCTGTCAATTCAATGTGTAAACTCTGCCACTGACCAGCTCTTTGCCCCGCAAACAAGGCATTTAAATATTCTGGGCCTCATTTCTCCCATATTTAGAAAAGGTAATATATGCCCTTCTGGAAGAGTTGTATAAGGATCGAAAAGTTTGAAGGTAAAACTGTGAAACACACGTCCCATATTTGTTGTGCTTTAAGACTGACCATTTGGTTACCTATTCAAAGCAGGTGCATTTGCTAATCGACTTCCTGTGCTTAGTTAGAAGTTGTTTGATTACAGAAAGCCCAAAGCCACGGTCCTCAAAACTTTTAACAGATCAGCCATTTGGAAAACCCTGGAATTAATTCAGTTAAAATTAAAACTAAAACATGGGTGGAATGTGGTAAAAGCTACCCTTGAGTTAGGATTAGCTGTGCTAAATAAATCAAACACTGCATTTTTTTGGTATCTTCCTGCTGCAAATTTTTTCTATCCTTCAAAATAACAGTTGATTTGAACTACATTTGTTTCATTGTGGTCAGAAGGTAGAAAGCTTTGTGGGGAATGAATTTCTGAATGAACACTTAATAACCACTCATGTCCCAAAGACCTGAAAGTCTTCTAGTTAGTTCCCTGTTTCATTTTGTTACTCCAGTGCCTGTGCCCAGAAGGCTTGTTATTTGAGAACGAAACGGTGTGAAATTCATTCCAAAAGGGCTAAATAGAAAAAATGTTTTAGGACACTCAAAGCAAAAGGGCAACTAACTGGCAGGAATAGTTTGCAGCTAATTCTAAACAGGTAGGCAGACCATCAGAGTCCTGTGGATTTGTAACCTACTAAAGGTTCAGGGGCGTTAATCTGAAGTTGAATGTTTGGTCCCGGGAAATAGTATCTGCAAAATTAGTGTGCTTTCAGTTATCTGCCTTCCCTCTTTTTTCTAATTGCTTTTTTTTAAAAGCAGTGAGGTCACGTTAGCTTTTGCTTTGATTCAGAATGGGTTAGAGTATTAAATCTTTGTAACCTTGAAAGAACCCTCATTACACTCAAAGTTTAGGTCTAATAACAGCCATCATAATGCTGTTGCAGACAGCTTAGCCTTTATTCTCCTATACTTTGTAGTTTATTTTCCAAACCAGGAATTTGGTCTGATTATTGTTCACTTTCAGCTCATGCAACTTTTTATTGACTTACTGATCAAAGGTATGAGGTAGATCCTTATGAGACTGTTTTAAATGAGCAGATTGAGTGTACATTACTTTTATGTTTGAACCACACTGAATACAGCTCCAAGTTCAACTGCCATGCATAAGTCTAACTGGCAAAATGATACAGAGATGATGGGGACATGGAGATATCTCCCATTAACTGAAGTACTTTTATTTTAATGTTTCTGGTCACTTCCCACATATTTGACAACTATTTATAGATGATGTATGCAGTTTCTGTTTGGGCCTGTTGAAGAGAGATAATTAGGGCATCTCATAGTGGAAGCCTAGCAGATCGGCTATCAGAACTCCAGACTAGAGGCTCCTGGAAGGAGTGGCCCCTTAATCTATCAGCTGAAGCCACCTGGCAGGACATTCACTGCAGAAATGATTGCCCTGAAGTGTTCTGACTCAGCAACATCACCGACTTTCACAGAATGTACTGGCTTGTCACCAAATGGCCTTTAGTAAGGTAACCACAGGATGACAGCTGTGTTCCACCTTTGCCTTCCTGACACTATTTGAGACAGACTCCACAGGTACAAGATAGGTTGCCTGAAGTTTATAGTCCCGACATTTGTGAAAGTGGAAGAAAACATCAGGCACTTCTTAAAAGCTCCTTTGGATAATCCCATTCTGTTTATTAGACTTAGGGACTATAACTGATTGAAACATTTTTGTTTCTCCATTTCAAACAAATTATCTGTTGCCAGTCCTTTTCCACATGAAAAATATTCTTTTGTTGCTAAGCAAAAGTAGTTCAAAGTGTAATCCTTAAATGTTTTTCAACTAGCGTGATGACGCTAAGTGCCTCCTTGCTCTTTAGTTAAGATGGTCTGATGCAGCAGTGTGGGAACGGGACCTGGGCCAGGGGGTGCTTCATCAGCACTAAACCCAAAGCTTGATTACAGCCATCTTATCACCTCTTAGTCTTCAGAGTTAGTGTTAGAGGACCTGTGCAGAGTCCAGAGGGTGTCGTCATGTTTTCATCACAGCCTTACATCCGTTGATAGTGCCAGTGGAGTCTGAACTGGGTGACTAGCAGGCAGTTACTGATTTGGTTGGGACTTCAATAAGAAGCTTATTTTCTAAGTGTTATAGGAACAAGCCAGATTGAAAAAAAAAAAAAATTGTTAATGCTGATTGTCTTGAGTACAAATTGTGACATCAAAAGTAAAAAAGGTTTTAAATATGAAAATATAGTGTGTATATTAACAAGTTATTCAAAGAATTTGTCTCATGAACTGCAGTCTTGGTTTCTTATTATTTTAAAACGTTTCTTGTGTTTGGGATGGAGTATTTATAAACATGAAGGGTATTTGTCAGTTTTATGATACTCTTCCTTAACCCTTTGATGCTAGGACATTGTGCCATATGGATCTTGTTTGCTCTCTCCCAGGTGGTCTCCGAGGAGTGGCACGCGGTGGCCTGGCAGGACTCACGCTCACTGGCCTCTACGCGCTGTATAACAACTGGGAGCACATGAAAGGCTCCGTGCTGCAGCCGTCACTCTGAAGACTGCCAGTTAAATAGGACACTTGAGTAGTCACCCACACAATTACCAGTTAGTGTGGAGTTACTCGCTTCTTCCTACAGTTAGTTTGAAAATGTTGCGATTCCAATTGGCCGTGATGATCATGGATGGTAAGCAGGACTGGCTCTCCTTTCAGTCATTAGAGCTGAATCCCAACCCCGCTGGTGATTTGAGTAACATGGCTCTTCTCCTCTGGTGACCCTGCGCCTGTTCCACTCGCACCCCTGAACTGGAAAACCACTCACTCCCATAATTCAGGTCATGCTTGTTGTCAGTACTGTCACCGCGTTTGTTCATTTCATGATCCAAACTCTAAAATTGTCCTGTATTCCTAATAAAGGGTAAAAATGGAACCAAAGTCCTAACTCCAGTGTAAAAATAGTGGTTGTATCCATTTAAAAGCATCTTTCTGGATATAAAGTGAAAGTTACTCTTGGTATATTTTTCTGCCCCAGTTTAAGTTAAAACTTGTTTTCATGTTTGTGTTGAAATGAAGGGCTATTGGTGACAGTAAGAGGTTAAACTTTTTCACCAACAGAGTTGACATTAAACAACCTCAAATATTTCAGATTAACCATTATACCATTAGTGTGCTAGAACAATCTGTCCAACGGTCATGCTTAACTCTGTATGTATTAACTCATCTCCTTACTGGGGATAATTAGAAAAAGAGATGAAATAGACAAGAGCTTTAAGATTTTAAGGAAGCCTTGGGAAAGTTAAAGGAAACAGGGCAAGTTATTTCTCCAGTGTTTTCTCATCTATGAAATAAAACTGCACTACAGGTTACACATATAAATACTAAACAACTGGTGGTTATTACGATTGGAAAAAGTAAAGTAGGGCCTTTTTGGATGCTTCTAGTAAGGAATTTGGTAGAAAAATACTGAACTTGAGCTGAGGTTCTCTAGTAAAAACAAAGCTTAATTATTTCATCTACAACAGAGCAAAGTAAAAACGTGAAGAGTGCAAAAAAAAGACTGAAAATGGAAGTTAGTAATAACATCTATTCTTTGCTAATTTAAGATTCACAAAATACATTGATATTTTATTGCCTATAAAAACAATTTTCTATGTTCAGTTGTTTCTCAGCTGTACTAAATAACCTAGGGTCGTCACATTTATATAATGGGACCAAATATTTTAAGACAATGTAGTCTTACAAATACACAGGACAACTATGGCTGTTATGCTTTTAATGGAGGAAGGTACAAAATGCATCAATGCAAAAGACTTTTACATACTCATTAGCATAGTGATTAATGTAAATTTAGGAATACACTGTGTTAAACTCCAAAAACTACAAAGTTTCTTGCAACCTAAGATAATGGAAAGGCTCCTTAAGTTTTTACCCACCACCTTTATTAAAGTTCTAAATGGTGTCTGGGGAGACTGAAAATTAATAGGCTTTTTTCAGCTGTGGTTCAAGAATTCTAATAAAGTTGTATGTCAAACGACACTGCCAGACCGTGAAGGTTCCCCAAAAGGGCTTTCTAGTTGACCACATCACCAACTGAAAAGTTTCCAGTACCACATAGGCAAGTTGGGTGGCTTAATAGTTTAAAGGCCTGGAAAGCAGCTATGGTATCTTAGAGAATTTTTAAACATTATAAATCCCATTTCTCTCCTACAGAGAAACTTTAAAATATGAATATGACTTTAAGGATATTAAGAAAACATCAATAGTTTTCATAAAGCTTCAATAAACACCCCAAGGCACAAGTGTTCAAAGCAGCCTGTTCACTAAAATGTCACTGCATTATACTTTTAGAGGTATAGGTATGCTGTGCTTGCAGTGAGAGGACACTGAATTTATCCCTCATTAAAAGCACCAGGTGTCAAGCTCAGCTTCCACTTACACAGGATGCACCAATAACGCTTAGGTAGGATAGTGAAGTTCAAGTACTGCATTTCCAACATGTCGCCTTTTGCTTGTTTTGATTAGTTGGCACTGAGGCTCTTCTGCCTGCAGTTCTTCAGAATATATTGAAAGAGGCTAGGACCACCCAGAATACCATCTTAAAGCAACACGGAACCCTTCTAAAAGAGCTCACTAGACACTTTAATAACATTCAGAGAAGGAAAGAAAAACAAATTTGCAAGTAGCTAAATTTCTTTCAAAAAAAAAATGTAGACTCTGACATGTAGGCTAAAATGTTCGGTAATGTCAAAAATTCAAAATTGTTGATACACATTTGGTAAGAAAAAAATCACTATATTCTGAAGGTTAATTATTTGTGTGAAATATATATTAAACAGAAGAATCATCATTTTCACCACTAAAGGTAGAAAACCCACAGCAAAGGAAGCATCTAAAGGGTAATCAAAAGGTTAGGGAAGTTTACTGCTTTAGAATACGCCAACACACCTTGATTATAGAACTATTTAATTTTGAAAACTACAGTGTTTTAATGTACTAGTAACAACCAGTCTAAGGAGCCATGGAGGCTTATGAGACCTATCTATCCACCAAGATGCTGTTTCTAGTGTAGGGGTGAATTCATACTTCTGTAAGAAGGAACTGGATCACCTCAGCATTGAGTTTTTTCTTTTACGCAGTAACTCATAATTTGATGACTTCACTAGTTCAAAATTAGGCAGAAACTAAGCTGACTGCTCAGACCCAGAAACAATGATTTGGCAAGCTGTAGTCACTCGACTCATGGAAGTGTGATAATTTGCAGAAAAGTTGCCTGATGCGAGTACTCCATTCCTTCACATCTGTAAAGAAAAATCCACAGATAACAAGTCACTTCACTGTAGCATAAAAGCAAATTTCTCCCCACCTTAAAGAATGTGGGTCATTTTTTAATATGCTAATAGACTCCACACAACTCTGAAAATTCCCAACAGCTACATCATCTTTTAAAGTTCAAATAAAATACATGAAATTTTATAATCTCCCTCTTTCACCCTCACTTGACTAACAGACATAACATTAATAGGAATATGGTTCAATGAGCAATGTATAAACTCATGTAAGATAAAACATTTATAAGCAGTAAAATCTGTAATATTTACACGAGTGGCATGTACGCACCTGTAGAGGAGTTCGATACAACCACTTTTCTTTATCAACTTGAAGCTGCATACAGGCAAAGAGATCACAAACTGCTGGAAGACCATAGCAGTCTGGGGGGAAGTTACGCTCCTCCTGGATGGGTGAATTAAGTAATACTTCCTGCAAGAAGACAAAAAAGGCGGGTTGTACATGACAACTGAGAGGCATGAGACCAACTTATCTTCCAGATAATTTTCCCAATAGTGTAGTCTCTATAAAGAATCATGTAAATGTTGGACATTCTAATAATCAGGAGCAAGGGTGATTCCTTTCTCTACCCCTAAATCTTTTCTGTAAATAGCAACAAAACTGGCTGGGTTTCTTTCCTGTAAGGTGGGGGCTGGAGCCCTGGAAAATGCATAAAATTCCAGTCTGAATAATCAAATCCTCCATTCTGTTGCTAACATGGCACCAAAATTAGTAATACTTAAGCCAAATTTAACAGTTAATGTATTTAAAGGATCTGGGCCATGTGCAAGGTTTGGGATTAAGAAAGCAAAACTCTGTTAAATCTATTTCAAATGGTGTTATTCTGGTGTCTGTGCCCACCTTGGCCTTCTTTCGAAGTAGCCACTTGTCTTCTCCTGAGGATAACTGGCCGAGGTTTCCTGTCTTCTTTCCTGGCAAGACCCAGTCTGCTGTGTTAAAGGGGCACCAGGAAGTGGCTGCGGGGCTTGTGGCGTTTTGCTTGCCAGCACTGTCCTCGATACCAGGCACTTCCTTGGGGTGTCCTTCTTTGCATGAGGGTGTGATGAGCCACTCAGACAGGGGACTGTTCCTTATGACTTGGACGGAATCAGCAATTCTAGAAGGAGCCATTGCCTTTGGTGCCTTAGCTTGTTCTGCTGTCTCTTTTCTGGAAGGACAGAGCCACATGTTCAGAGGATCGATACGCTTCTCAACTTCAGGTTTTGGTTCCACAGGCACCCCATTTTTATCCTTTCCTTCTTTCTCCAGCAGCCACTTACAGAGCGCTTCCTTCTCACAGTTTTCATCACACACACACTCTGCAAAGCTCATACAGGGCTCATTGGCTTTGCAGACATCTTCTACTTTATACGGGTCCTGATGGTCCTGGACAAGCCAATCCTCAGTGATCACGCTGGGAGTGGACAAGGGTTTCTTGGCCTCCATGTGGTCATTCAGGCACTTCAGATTGCCCAGGTTTTCAATCTCCACGCCTTTGGGCTGGTTGCCCCGACAATTGGTACACGAATCAGGTTTGACAAGCCAATCATTCACACTGTAGGACTCCTGGAACACCTGGAACAAGAACTTAAACTTCTCACTGGTTTCACTGCTGCCATTCTCAGGCTTCTCCAGCTTACGGGATTCCTGGGGTGTCACCAGCCAATCAGAAAGGTCCACTTCATCTTGATCAAGAAGCTCTAGATCAGCAACCTTCTCAATATCAGAGAAGGAGCCGGTGGTAGAACAGCTGGTACACCTTTGGTAACTTGGTTTTTCGGGAACTTCTTGTTGCTGACTCTTGTGGAGCCACTTTTCCAAGTCCTTTAGGTTGCCCCAGACATTACTGAAGAAACTGAAGGTTCTGGCAGAAGTCTACACAAAAAGTACACAATGTCAGTTCACCAGAACATTCTGACTGCTTTGGGATTCAACAATGAAAGCGTCCTAATAGCATATTTACTGCTTTGCCCAATGTTTGTAAATTTAAGTATATAAAGCCAAGCGACAAAGGATTTCTCTGTTGCAATATTAAAATATGAGTACAGGGCCGGCCAAGTGGCGCGTTGGTTAAGAGCTGGCTTGGGACGCCAGAGGGCCCCTGTTCGGACCCCACATATGAGGGCCAGTGACACTGCCCTCTACAGCTAAGATGTTCAACAACAGCTCAACCTGGAGCTGGGCTGCCGTGAGTCGCCAGCGACAGCGTAGGCTGCAGCCCCTGCTGCAGTGGGTTGCCATGGGCTACCATGTGTAGCCAGCAGCCGCCGTGAGCGGCCATCCAGAAGCCGGCGACTGATCTGCCTCACCCAGGAAGAGCACAATGATGGTGCCAACTTGGGCCAGTGAAGCAACGTCCTCCACAACTAGACTGAAGAACAAAAAGGACAGCAACTTGTCTGTTCCCCTTCCCCCAATTCCCCAACAAAAATCTTTAAAAAAAATAATAAGAGTACATAAAAAATTTAATTTTCTGCAGTTTAAAAAAACTGAAAAGTATTAAAGGCAAACTAGGAGAAAGCATGTGTAGCATATTTGACAGAAAAGGGATGTTTTGCATAATATGCCTTTATGAATCAAGAAGACAAAAATGAGCAAAGGACAGTGATGCTGCGCCTGAGCTGAGCTGTCGCTGAGCTGCCAACAGGTGGCAGGATGGCTCAGCTGGTGTAACAACAAGATTGCCTGTTTGATGGTGCACCGGCAACTAAGAAGACTGAATTCAGCACCTTGAGCTGAGCTGCTGCCCGGATGGCTCAGTGGATACAAGGTGCGCGTTTAACAAGGCTGCCGGGTTCGACTCCCACATGGGATGGTGGCTATGCCCAACTAAGATTGAACATAGCACCTTGAGCTTAGAGGCCACGAACTGCCAATAGGCAGCCAGATAGTGACTGGCACCCTCCACAATGAAGACTGAAGAACAACAACTTGGCTGGTCCCCTTCCCCAATTCCCCAACACTGTTCCCCTCCCCTCACCCCCCAATAAAATATTTTTTTAAAAAAATGAGCAAAGGATATGATTAGACCAGTCATCAAAAAAGGCTAATAAACATGAAAAATGCTCAACCTCCTTAGTAATCAAAGAAACTCAAAACAAAAGTAAAACTTATTTTGTGTCAAATTCAGAGAAAAAAAGAAACTTGTGTAGGACTACCACTATTAGAGAAATTGCAGGGAAGCAGGTATACTCAATACTCTGCTGGTGGGAATATAAATTGGTATCAATTTCCTGGAAAGCCAAGCTGGCAATATGTATCCAAAATCTTAATGGGTATGCAGAATTGTATATAGGAATGCAGTTTCTAGGAATTTACTCCTAAGGAGCTAACCAAGAATGTACACAAATAATTAGCTTCCAGATGTTTAGAGGAACTTTGTTTATATCTATAAAAACTGGAATTTAAGTTATAGCCAATCAATGAAATATTATATACCATTAAGTATTTTATGGCAGAAATATACTCATGTATTAGTGAAAAAAATCTGCTAGCAAAAACAGAATTTACAGAATGATTATTTTAAAGTATATGTATGCATAGAAAAATGAAGTACATAAAAATTACAGTGGTTGTCTCTGCATGTTGGGATTATGGGCTTGTATTTCTGAAAAGGTGTTACTATTGTAACATGTTTCTAGACTAGAAGGAAAGACTAAATAAAGACACATATTGTACTACCAGTTAGTAAAACTAATCCCGTCTGCTACTGTGTCTACCTCAGAAACAATAAAGTAGCAACACACCTGACTATTTTCCAAGGTCTGCTTTTGGGTGAGCCAGTCCTGGAGGTTGGTGCTGGGTATGTAAGGAGCCTGATGACCACTGGCAGGTTTGCTTCCAAGAAGCCATTCACTGAGAGGGACAGCTGGAGTGCCGGATGCTGACTTCTGCTAATCACATAATATTTTGCTGCTTAACGAGGCAACGTCAAATACAATAGAAAGTTCACCAGAAAAGCAGAAGATCCACAATCTAATCTTAGCTTGCCACTGACCCCACACAAGTCACATGTCTTCCCTAGGCCTGCATTTTCACAATTATAAAACAAGCAGTATAACTGATCTCCAGGTTCCATCTCAACTCAAAACGTCTAGAATCCTATATTTGCATTGCCTTTAGAAGTATTGTAAATCATCTGTATGCATTATAGAGAGAAGGATCCCCAAGAGAGAACCAACCCAATCAGAAAGCTAATGACAATTTCTTATAAACTAATTGATAACGATTACTCTCTCTCTCTCTTAGCACCTATAAAACCTCTGAATTTCTAGCTGACATTCAGTCTCAAAGTTAAGGCTTTAATTGTATAAACTAACTCATTACCTCTGGTGCCTTTTTACAAATAAATGGTAGCAAAAAACAAAGTGATTTAGGCAAAACCTAAAAGAAATACAAGCCAAGTAATAACTCAGGTATCAGAAACAAAGTGACATTTTTACCTGCTCTGGCAATGATACAGAGCCTCTTTTCTCCAGGAAGGGCCCAACATTTGATGAACTAGCATGAGCTATCAAGTGCTCAGGAATTTGCTATAAAATAAAAGCGAATTGTGTTTATTAATGTTATACTTTCATCCCCCAAAAAAGTGAAATTGTAATTCCTAAATTTTAAAAGTATTAAGCAAAGCATTACCATTTTATTAGAATAATCTTTACAATAAATCCAGTGACCTACAAAGTAGTTATCAAACCTGAGACTTCTCTACTACTTATGTAACTATCGTCAAATGAGATCTTCACCAGAACTGGTATTACTATTTTAACGAGACCCAAATGAGACCATGTTTGGTTCTTTAAAGACCACTCAAGCCATCAATTTTATAATATGTCAAAGGTGTTTAAAGATATACAAAATGAATTCTAGAGATTATCCATGAGTCAATACCACATCCCAAGAACTACCAGCCCATTGCTCTTAATCAGAACGTGAAATTCCTGAAGTTTACCAAATTCTGAAGAGAACCACTATTCACAGTAAAAATGTGATGTGTTTATGGCCGCTGTGAGGCTACAGGCCTGAGAAGAGTGCTCTGAGCCCTCTGAGATCAGATTTACTCACGATGGTCTTCAGGGACCCAAACGTGGTAATGGCCTGGCGCAGAGCTGCTATGTCTGCTTCGAAGAGCAGGACAGTCGAATCTTCAGGTTTGAGGGTCAAGCTGCCCAGTCTGGAGAGAAAAAATAAATAAAACCTGGCTATTTTTAAGGAATATCCATTTCAACTTCATCCAAAAAGAAATCCAAGTTGTGAATTATTTTAAATGATTATACTTTTCTAAGAATCTCAACCAAAGGTAGATGACTTAATCACGTACCAAGTATAATATTAAATATATAAAAATGGTCTTATCAAAGGAATAGAGAAGTCAAGTCCAACACATGCAATGAGTTACAATACTGACTTTTTTTGAATACATCAAAGTCAAAGAGCCAAAATACAAAACAAGCAAAAAAGGCCTTTACCTCTCCAAGCACACAGAGACCTGATTGGCTAGATCTTTGTTTTGGGTGCACTCCAGTTGATGAATAAGACAATTGAACTGGCCCAGTAACTGTAAGAAAAAAGAAACCATCTAGCCACAATGATATAATACTAAACGCACCAAATGTATTCAAGTTAACAAACAGCAAATAGCACTTGAGATTAAACTTTTATCTGATCTATATTAATGCCACATTATAGGAAGGACATTCTCCAGAAACCAGAAACCATAGTCTTGCAGCCGCCTTACCCAGTAGAGCTGTTGGGCCTGCTGCTGAAGTGTCTCCTCTTTAAGCTGATAGATGAGATCTACCTGTTCGTACAGCCACACCTCACGGCTTCGAAGGCATTCCAGGTGACGGCTTATGCAGCTGTGAATCTGGGCTTTGACCTAAGAAACACATATAGATTAGCTTCACTAGTGTTGTAAGCCCAAAGAAAGGTGTTTCCCACAGAACTGGGAGGTTCTTAAATTTCTGGGGGTTACAAATCCTTTTGGTTATCCAATGACATCTACAGAGCATCTCCCCAGAAAAATGTATATACTCAAAATTTTGCCTGTAATTCCAAGGTTTAGTGTCCCAGAGCCCCATGGACCCAGTTCGAGAATTCCAGCCATCCAGGCGGACCGAAACTCTAAAATCCTCCTTCAATACCTCTCCCTCCTAAGGGGATCAGGTTTATGCTGGGTATCCTAAAGTAATCAAGAGAAAAATACAAGGATATGTCACATAATACTGATCCTCCCCAGTTGCCCATATAATTTGAAAATCTATAGTTTCACAAATTTGTAAGACAAGAGTATTAGCTTAATAACTAGCTGTTATCTCTTTTCTCACCCTACAGATGAGCAATCTATTTATAGTAGGCCAATTCAGTAAAGAGATGTGCCACTACATGTCAACAGCCAGAGACCACTACAGTAGACGGTTTAAGTATAAACACAATGTTTCTGGAAGTATAAACAGTGATTCAAAAGGGGGATAAATACAAAAATCCTAAGGAAAAATTAAAATCAGCTATATATTATCCATGAGACTCCCCATAAGAAACTTTTCTAAAACACATTTTTCCATACAACATAGTTGGATTTCAAAGTCATGTTGTGCTACTTGATTTACCAACTCACCAAGAGAATAGAACTAAACCAACGGAATGAACATACTCGTATTTAATTCTGGCTTGCTCTAAGTCATTATAGAGCCATGCCACCACCAGGTTAAAAGATGGCAGAGGACACGCTGCAGTGCCATTCTTTATGCATCAGGACACAGCTGAGCAGGATACTGCTCATTCATTTTATTTCTGTATTGAAGGCAGAGCTTGACACACAAACTACATAGAGGAGCAACCAAAAATGCATTAAAGAACTAATTCTCCAAGGTGGTACAAGATTTTCCAGACCCTTCTAACAAGTGCTTTACTTCCCTTTGGAATCAAAGACATTGACATTTCAGGCAGACCATGCAAGGCCTGGGGTGAAACTCCATGGCTGGCACGGAGAGCCAAGCCCTCGGCCATGCTCTAACCATCCCCGTGCTAAGTCCAGACAAGGCAAGTGGAAAGCACATGTCACACCTACCTCTCGCAAGTTATCTTTAATTTGCTGTTCAGCCCGGAGAACTCCACCAATCGCAAGCTCCAAGTCCCTCCGTGCATCACAACACCTCACAAGGGGTTCTCTAGCACTGGAGCCATTCTGGTCCTGTGAAGTACTCATTCTGCTCACTGCTCCTTTAAAAGAAAAAAGAACAATCCAAATTGCCCCATAATTACAACCGAAAACCACCTTTCCATCATCCCCCAAATGATCATTCCACCCAGCTCCCAGTTACTAAGTACTTAGATCACTTCCAACAGAGGACCTGGCACACAGTGTACCCTTCCTGAATACTGCCTCCCCCTCCCTGCCCACCACTGGGTTCCTGCCATAAGAGTCTATGAATCTGCTTTAGTGGCGCTTTACATGGAACAGATGTTTCTGAAAAAATACACTAATTTTTCTGAATCAATAGGGCTTATAGCCTCTAAAGTTAAAAGAACACTTAAGAGTGTAAGCTTCTTTCTATTTATACACACATGAAGTCATAGGGGGCATGTGTTCTTGTTTTACAGATTGAGAGGTGAAGACTAAAAGGTCTAGAAGTATCCATAATTACTTTTGAAAACTGCCCCCAAAAAAACAAAAAAAAACCTTGATAAACAGAGTTTAGAACATTGTTTAGATCTGGCATCTACCTAAATTATTCAGAAGATGGAATTTTTAATTTATTTTTTCTTTTTTCAGTGTGTGTGTGTGTGTGTGTGTGTGTGTGTGTGTGTGTGATTTTTTTAAATTTAGAAACACAGAGATGGCTTCATAGCTAGGAAGCTAACAAAATAATTTCACAGGACTGATATAAGGGAGGTACAGAAATTAGTGTGGGAAACTACAGAGAGTTCTCTAATAAGCTCAGCTTTATGAGAGAGAAATAGAAGTGGAAAGAATAGCACATAACCAATGATATAATAATATGAGACTAGGACAGGCAAGTGTCACAAATGCAATGAAGTAAAGCTTGACAGAAGTCACTGGTGTCTACCTTGAACAGATCTAAAAATCAAAGATGGTCTCTAAACACTTAGAAAATGAAAGCAATGATCACTGCAGCCCAGCATGGGTTTCCTAAGCCCTGTAACACCAAAGTGATTTCCCTCTTGGATAGTTTTACGAAACTGGCCAGCCAGTATCATGTTGTAGACATGATATATCTGGACAACAGGACTGGGACAAGGTTGCATGCTACCTTTGTGGACAAAGTGAATATGGGCTAAGATGAAGTACAACTCAATTGAATCAGAAGATTATTTTTTACAAAGTACTCAAAGGATAATGGACTGAAGCCAGACTGTAAAGTTTTTAGAGGTATGTCCCTGTTTTTCCCAATTACTCAACTGTTTTCCCTAATGAATTGGATGAAAACATAGAAGGCAGACATTAAAGTTGGCGATAACATGAAACTGTGAAAGAAACAGATTCCAAAACACTCTCTACAAAGCTGTTACATCTTATAAAAATGTAAATACTTTGAACAGGAGTGTGAGGGAACAAAGTGGAAGAGAATAAATTTTTTAAAGGATACAGTTTTTAATTGAAAGTACACTCTACATGAGTTAGCAGTATGCTGGGTCTGAGGAAAATATAATTTGCACACTGACTAAAATGATTAAAAGTACAACATTTATCACAGGACTAATCTGTTCCATGTTTATTAGACTAAATTTGGAATTTCTTTCTGAATAACACACTTTACAAAGAAGCATTTACAAATGAGAAAGAGGCCTCAAAACCATGAAAAGCTTCTCCAGAAGGGAGGCTGTTTAGCCTTGATAAGAGAAGTCTCTGGGAGGACATGATTACTATTCTCAAATATTTGGAGACCTGACAAATAGAAGTTAATCTTATTCAGAATAACCCAAAGTTGGGGAGGACATTTGAGGCAGTATATGAAAGAACTTCCCAACAGTCCTGAAGGCAACGACCTCAGAGAAGCCAGCCTTCAGCTGAAGAGTAGCCTACCAAATGCAGTCCTCCAAATGGCTGAGTGCTCATCTGAGACAAGGGAACTTTGGCTTAAAGTACATTTTCAAGCCTACCTTTAGGGCCAGGTAGTCAGCTATAAGCTGGACAGGGACAAAAATAGTGTGATCCCCATCCTCTGAAAACTGTGGAAAGAAGCCCAGCAGGCTTTTTTTATTATTATTATTGACCATCTCAGCAAAAGATTCACATTCAGCAACTACAGACTTTCTATAAAAAACTGAAAGACTCAGGAAACTTTCTAACTTCCCCTTGTTCTTGTTTTCCTCAGTCTGTTTCCCCAGGATTTGACAGTAATCCTTGAAATTTTTTCCAACCCTTGAAAACACCAGCTGTAGCTACTTTGCTGCCTTCTGTTTCATACTGTAAGCTGCTCTGTTTTAAGTACAGACATCGGTGCACACTGCAGACTGGAAACGTCTGCATAACACGAGAGAAACGTTGGCGCAGATGTGGAGAATGAGAGTGCCAACTCACTGCCACAAGTTGCTTCACTTTACACTTTGATTAGTTATATGAAAGGCATGTTTAACTGTCTTTCAAATGTATTAACCAAATCTCACCTGTGCCAAATTTCCCACTCTTAGGTCCTCACCATTTGTGTGAAATGCCACAATGCCTGGCACAGTGTAAAATGTAATAAAAAACTTAAAATGTTGCTTCAAAATGTCAAAAACCCCAGAGCTCTCTAGACCATGTAGGAGACAAATTCAAATGCATACAGTGCTGAATGCATTACTAGATCCCTAAAGTAACTCTTCTCAATTCAATCACATGTACTATACAACTGCCTAATAAGAGAATATGGCAAAAGTACACAAATTGAAATTTCCTCTTATCAGCTATGAACAGAAGGTAGGATGAGATTTGAAAGTTATAAAACTGATTTTTCCCCACATACTAATCACATGTTTTCAAATTAAAATGAGTGTTATCCTTCAAAAGAGTCATCTTGTTAGAATAAGGTCTTTAGGGCCCATTTGTCAGCCACTAAGGAAACTTGTTTCATTTCATTATGATCAGTACCAGGGTGCTTGTTCCTTTGCTGCCCTTGGCTCTGCCCCGCTTCCTCCCTTGGGGTAGTCAGCTTCCAAAGCCTAGATCCCAAGAAGGGAGTTGTGAAATGCCTGCCCTCTTGTACTGCAGTGAGGAGGAAGCCCTCGGAGCGGAAATCAAAACCCCCACTACACTGGTGAACTCAAAGCACCATGAGGTGAAGCCTGAGCTAGCTATGAAATGCCACATCCAAAGAGACCTGTATGAGGTAACTAGTTCATATGGCCACTTTCAACAGTTCACCACTGTTTCAGTTCAAAAGTGCCAGTATAGCAAGCATGATAGTTAAGAGATCACTCTGGGGTCTGACAAACCAGAGTTCCAAGCACCTGCAAGCTTGAGACCCATGGGCTAGTTACTTAATTTCTTCCGCATCCATTTCCCCTGAAAAAAATGGAGAAAATGAAAGCAGCTACAAAGGGCTGCAGTGAAGTTAAAGTACGACATCATCTGCCTGTAAGCACTTAATCCAGCCCCTGTGCTTTTTAAGACTGCAGTTGTTATTATGGGGACCTTATGAACCTCCACCTTTGGACTATAGAAAGGAGCACTGATGCCAAAGAAAGCTTTGAAGTGAGGAGGCCCTGACTTACAATCATGTAGCTATTTATTAACTCAATAGTCTAAACCAGGTATGCACAGTTTTGCCTGTTTTCTTACCTGTAAACAGACGGGACCAAATCAGCTCTAATTCTAAAATTCAAATCAATGAAAGACTACTAAAAATGTCTTTTCATATTCACCTTTGCCATCAAAACTACTGCCCTACCACTGTCAAAAGAAAACTAAAGGTATATTTTTTGAGACAAAGTTAAAAGTTTAAGTGCTTTCTAAAATTTCCCTGCATATAGGGTTCCTGTCCTAGGTTTTGGGGGAGGGGAAAGGAGGAAGAAACACACACACCCCTCAAACAAAAAGGGTTCTCCTGGAGCTTTCCTCAAAGAGGAGTTCTACAAACTATATTTGCCATATTTGCACAATGCTTTGCACAAATATAGTTATCAAGTCTGGAGATCATGGAAACAGAATTGAGCAACTAACCACAAATAAAGCTAAGTTATCATATGGTTTAACCATAAAATTTCCAAAGAACTATGACCTTCTTGTGACCAACACAAACCACAATTTGAAGTTGAAAAAACTTCACCTCTTTAGTACACTACTCTCATTTTATAGATGATGCCACAAAGGCCCAGATAGTTTAAATGACCCATCTAAAGGGCCACAGCCATAAGGGTAGATTTGGGTTCCTAGTCCTGGATTCTCTCACTGTCCAGCTTCTTCTTTCTTTAGTGCATTATCACCCATAAATTATTTGCCAATACCTAAGTTTAAAATTAACATTCCAAAATTATCATTCCAATTAACATTCAAATAGTAACATTTGGGTTACTACTGGAATAACTTCCACTAAGATTCTCGGATCATTTTCATAGTGCTCAATAAATTATGACAATTTTTCAGAACCTTCTTCCTTGGATAATATTAATAAAATAAATAGTACCTTTACATGTAAGAATAAGCAAAACACTGCCAAGCACCAGTGCCAAGTATGAAGGACAGGAGCCAGAGCCCTGGTTTGTGACCCCACATCTGTATCACAGCCATCTGGGAGTTCCATTTGTCTGCCTGAATTTCAGAAAGCAGACCAGATCATCCCTAACTGCAGCTTCCACCCTCACGGTTCCTCCCATTTCCCACCTGCTCTTCCTCTCAAAAAAAAAAGTTCACTTTTGATTTCCTTTCCTGGCATCCAAATCATTGCTAGAAACCCAAGCCCTTAAAAAACAATCCACAGGATACCTATGTGTACTATAGATTACTAAATTCAAAATACTAACTGACGATTTCGTTATTTTTGATGAGGCAATATCCTAGGCCATTTGTACAAATTTTCAGGGAAAAAAATATGAAACAATTATTCTGCATTCAATTTTACCTTGAGCCATTTCTCTTTCACATGTTCCTTTAGTTTAAAAAAGTTGTTTTTTAATATCACATTAATTAATTCACTCAAAGGTTATATAGCCCACTTTTAGTTCTTTATCAAGACTAGTTTCTGAAATTCAGGATGTGATTCCCCATAATTTTTTTACAA